TCAATCTACTATTTCAAACTACATTCTTCCAAAATAATGTAACTCAAACACAACCTTGATATGAGTTAGTTTACCCATTTTTTTAAAAAAATTACTCGTTACTCATTGAACTTTTTTATAAATTATTACTTATTCATCGAAATTTAAAAGTTACCTCGTTGCTCACTTAGCCCTTATCTGGTAGGGATTAAAATCAAATGTGCGGTTTAAAAGTTGCGGAACCCATAAAATATTTGATTAAAATGAATTATTAAGTTTGACTTAATTTTAAATTAATCGGTACCAACAGGGGCCTAGATTTGAACAAAGTTGCTCATTGTTCACTGATAAAAATGATATGAGTGATTGATATATAATTTTTTTTTAAATTTGGATGAACGAGTAATTTTTCAAATTTCAGTGAGCAAGTTGTAATATATAACAAGGTTCAGTGAGCAAATAATAATTTTTTAAATTTCGATAAGCAAATAGTAATTTATACAAAGTTAATGTGACCATCGATTAAATTAACCTTTTAGCCCCTATTTGACCCTTCATTATTCCCCACTAAATTATGGCCTTTGTTTGATTTTTTTTCCAAAATATATTTTTCTCTTCTTTTCAATTACATATTTTAATAAAATAATATTACATGTAAATCCAAAACTCTTTATTATTTTTTAATCACATATTAATCTATTATTTCAAAATATATTCTAGACAAAAAATGGAGCTCAAACGGCACATAATAATTTATTTTTTTCTTTTTTATTATCAACCACACGTTCTCCAATAAAATAATATTCCAAATAAATTCAAAAATATTTGCTCTTTTTTAACCACATGCTCTCCAAAATATTACTATTCTTTTCATTATAACGTGGAATAATGGAGTCAAAACGGATGCTTAATAATAAATGAATTAATGCTTAATTAAATATAGTTTAATCTATTTTAAATTTTTAAAAAAGAAAATTATACAAAATATATATATATATACACAAATATCATCAACATCTCGTCATTATCTTCCACAGCAAAGGTACAAATGGATCTACGATACATAAAGAAAATTAATGACCAAAAATTGAAAAGAGAGAAAGAAAACTACATCAATCATTGAATTATGAATAACCTTAATAGTCAAACACATAAATTTCAAGCCTTGAAGCACACAAACTGGTGTTGGTGGAGGTGGTGGCTGTGATGGTGATGGTGATGGTGCGATTTCTCCTTATCAATCATACACTGAACATGGCGAAATTCTTCAACATGGCAAGGAATATTAATTGGTCCTTTTTGATCAAATCCATATTCATTTTCAGCCACGTTAAGCAACCCGGTGAAGAGCGGGTGGTTGATATAGATCACTGGAACAATGAACCGCTGCTGCTCCTCCCCTTGCCCCACCGTTATCGCCACATAGCCCTTCGGTATATCCTTCTTCCCCTGGTGGTGGTGGAAATGAATAAGCGGCATGTTCAGATGAATTTTATCTCCACTACCCATCTCAAGATTAAAGAAAAAAACACAGAAAAACAAGAATACCCTAGATTTTTTCTTGTAAACAGAGAGAGATGAGAGATCTAATCTAAGTCGTTACAAGAAAACAGGAGAAAAAGGCCAAGGATCCGATGCCGAAATGGCAAGATTAAAGAGTGTAAGACACGAATTTGTTAAGGATGTTGGAATATTGCTCATGATAATAATCCTAAACTGTAAAACATATTAACAACTTGTTTGAATAGATTGAAATTCAGGGAATACAGATGCCTATATATATACAATGTGGGGAATCCTTTGCAGCTGTAATATTGACTTTTGGGTTTCTTAATTTATACGCTAAGGTGTTTTTCTAGAGAGAGAAGGTCTAAAATAATCATGCGTATGTAGGGTTTGGCTGGGGTAATTAAAGACTCGTTTGGGTAGATTTTTTTAAAATCATTTTCAATCATTCATAATTATTTTTCCTAATTATCAAGCTCCCAAACAAGCTCTTATTAAGCCCCGTTTGGTGCCCATTATTTCAAAAAAAAAAAAAATGTAGTTTTGAATATTATTTTTAGGAGGATGTATGGTTAAAAAGTAAGAAAAAATTTTAAATTTATGTTCATAATATTTTATTGTGTAAATTATGTGTGGTTGAAAATGATCCTATAACAAAAAAAAGTTTAAAATAACGAACACCAAACATGGGCTAAATTAATTAATTAAGAGTTGCATGCTCCTTCAAAGATTGTTATGAAATGGACTCTTTGGCCAAGTTGAAAGCCAAATAAATTAAAAATATTTGTAATTAAAGACCGAGTTTTGAGGGTCCCATTCAAGGGCTGCGTCAATAGAAGACTAGTTGGAACTTCGATATTTGGAAGAAAAATGCTAGACTTGACCGCGCACTCACAGTCGAGGCACGGGTCTCACCCGAATAAAATAATCCCAATCCCCATGTGTGTGGTAACCGGCACGGTCATCCCAGTGGTTCCTGTAGCAGAGCTCTATTTGGAATCCCAAAATTTATTGTTTTTATACGCCTGTTGAAAAGAGAATATCTTAATTACCAAAATATTTATTTATCCATTGTATTTATAATAGACAAAAAATAAAATAAAAACAAGTACAAAATTGGGACAAGAGGGTGTTTGGTGGAAATTAAAATTAGATTTTTAGTAAAATATAATATAAATTTTTGAAATGTGTGATTGAAAAGTTGTGGAACCCATGAAAGGTGTGGTTAATATTAATTGTTTGACTTTGATTTAAATTAAAATCAAATTTTAATCCGAGCCAAACGGGAGCTAAATACTTATCTATGATTTTAAAGTACGAAAACGAAATTTTGGATAAAATTAAAATATTGAGGATCAATAATAGAATTAAAATGTAGTGCAAATACAATCATCAAATAAAAATATGGCGTAAATATAATTATCCTTAAAATATTACTCTAATACCTAAATTGCCCTTCAATTACGATGGCCTAACCTAAACGAATTTTGTAGCGTAACCATTTTCCGTTACGCAAAAGTAAGAAGAATCATGTGCTCTTCAATCATGACCGCTCATTTAACAACTCTTTTTCATGTCCTCATTTCTTCTTGGAGTTATCTTAAAGTTGAAAAAACGGTGGCGTGCCATATGTTGAAAAAACGGTGGTGTGCCATATTTTGATTATATTAAAAAATTTTAAATTTTAATATATTGTCATATTTATATTTCCAACTTTTTCATCGCATTCAACCGTCCTGCTACTACTACTACTATTATTATTATTATTATTATTATTATTGGCGAAATATGATGAAATTACGATGTTGACCTTGTGGTGGCAAGGAACCAGTTTTTTTGTCAAAACATTATGATTGATTATAAATAC